CAATGGAACTCAAGTATCGTGAGAGAGTTAGGCTAATAACTGATTCAATCACACCTATCGTTGAGAGCGAGTCATGGCGAGGCTTTGTTCAAGGCAAGCGAGTGGAACAAACACACGATCCTTCATCACTGGAGCCCCACGCGTCGGCACGCGCTGCCCCAGCACCGCTCGCGCCCGACCTCGCATGACTGCGCAGACAGACGCCCTGCCCGCGCACCGCAGCGTGCACACCTGCATCGCATCACAGCGTCCACCGTGCACCACCGTGCGTGCCAGCGTTCATCGCGCACATCCAGCAGACGATCGCTACTGCCCCTGCGCGACCCGCGAAGCAGTCATCACCCACGAGTCCCGTCGCGCGAGATGTACGCGCGCGCCAGTCCTTGCCCACTTAAGAGACATGTCGTGCACGTTCTCTCGTGTTCTAGTCCGCCCAGGAGTAGGAGTCCTGTGCGCGCTGCACGCACGCGTTGTGCTCGTCCGACCATCTCGCGGGCCCTTGCGCCCGCGCGCGTGCATCAGCGCCCAACAGCATGCACCAACAGCCCGACAGCGTGTAGCCCTAAGCCCAGCGTGCGTGAGCCATACCCTGTGAGCCCAGTTCAGCCCAGACACGGCCTGACTCGACCCAGTCCAGTCCAGCTCGGCTCAAACCAGTCAAGCTTGGTCTAGAAGCCCTGGTTTGACCGAACGACGAGTTCCGATCAATCAGATTCACTTATCGAAGGTCCGAGATGATCCGATGAGCTTGATGAGCGATTGGAGCACCTTGATGACTCGATTAAAATCGAGAAAGGCCAAGTCCAGCTGCCCATTGGACTTTGGTGTTTAGATGATCTCCATCAACAGAAATCAGAAACGTCTCAGAGTCGGCAAAAATTTTAAACCGTAAGTCCTAATCCTAACTATAGATTCCGCTGCGTAAGGATTTATTATTCAATAGATTTGAATGTGCAGATTGTCAACGTTCATAATAGAACCCAACAACGTCTCCCACTGCAACAGCCGCCACTTTCGTAGCATCGCCCATGTAGACGGTGATCTCTCCCTCCCTAAGTCATCTGGTTTCCTGGAACCCCTGCAATGAATTGCAAACATGATCAGTGGCTCCTATATCTACACACCAGGTTCTGGTAGATACAACCACTAAACATGTTTCTATGACATTAACGAGAGAGTTACCTTTTTTGAGGAGAGGGCAGTTGACCTTCCAGTGTCATAACTTGTTGCACTTATGGCATCTACCTTTCGGCTTCTTTGCCAAAGCCTGAGGGGGCAGTTGCTGGACCACTGGAGCATCCTGCACCTTTGCCTTTCCTGCAGACTTCTTTCTCTTCCTGCCCTTGTGAGGCCTGGAAGGTCCAGCCTGCTCGGCAACCAATGCGTGAGGTGCCTGAGTGAATAAGGCCTCCGTTGACTGAAGCTTTGCTAGCAGTTTTGGAAGAGCCATATGCATCTTGTGCATGTTGTAGTTCAACCAGATCATATCAAAGCTCTTCAGCAGAGATTGGAGCATGATATCAACCTGGGTTTCCCCGTCGATAAAACCTCCCATAACCTCAAGCTCATTGAGCATCGCCATAACATTGAGAGTGTAGCGTCCCGTTTGAATATTAGATTTTTCCGAGTTTATTTTAATTAATGGCTTTATTTTATTATTTATATGCTTTAATTAAATGATTATATATGCTATCATTATGTGGATAACATAATTATATAACTTGTTCGATTTTATTTTATGGATCGCCATTTGAATTTCGGTTTACTCGCGTAAGTCGAATTGTTGTTCGTTTTAATTTGTTTTTAGCCTCGTTTCATGCATGTTAATAAGGGATTATTAAGTATTTTCTAAGCTTAAGTAATTAAGTCTTGGAAGCATTATCAATAGTCAAAGCTCTTGTAGGTTCACTTTGCGTAACTTATTGTCGGGGCTGATAAGAACCGAGCCATTCACCTTTCTCTAACCAATGGTTCAAACCATGGTTCCTTTATCTCAAATCTAAGACCATGAGAATGAAATCAGGTGGATTAAAAGTCATATGAGCTATTTTAGTCCATGTGAAGGTGAAAGGGAGTCAACCATCTGGGCATTTAGTAATAATGTGCTAGGTTGTTGTTATATTGCATGTGCTAGTCTTGTTTTTGCATGAGAGGTGTAAGATTCTTGTCCCCATGTTCCTTGATGATAAAAATCAGAGTATCTTAAGCCTTACCAACCCAATAACTCGTCCATGTACTCAAGATTCACACACCTAAGAGTTGAAGAAATTTCCTTGCAAATACACCTAAGATTTCTTCATTATTTGTCCCTTTTATAGCCAAAGAGTCAACACCCATGTGAAGCCTTTACTTAAGGCCACAACTCAGCTGATAAAGTCACATTAATCCTTATAATTTTCGTTCATAATCACCCCAAAGTCCTCTCCAAACTATTAGAAGTTATATCAAGTTCAAGAGCAACTTAGAGCCTTTGCCGAGAAGAACTTCAACCTAGTTTCATCTTGTTTTTCTTGAAGGCTTGAAGAGGTTAGTATGCTAAATCCTTTTTAGTATTATGTAGGGGAGTTAATTTGTTATTATGTGTGTTAAATTATGACTAAGTTTCATTTTATATGAGGATATATCGATATTGAAAGGAGACCATGTAGTAGAAGACTTATATTTCGATTTTTACAACCTCTGTTGTGTTGCTGATAAGAGCATGAATTACTCGTTTTATGAAGTTTTGCTCTGCATATGATATGTAGATCTTTCGGTTGTGGTTATGTGAGTTTTAAAATTTTGAAAATCCGATTTGAAATTAGAGAGATATGATTTTTATAAAAATATAGCGCCAGCAATTTAACAAAACCCGGCAGCAAGTTTATGTTGAATGTTTTACCTATTTGTGGCATCTTAATGTACTCAAATTAATTTTTGATCTTCATAAAACTTATAGGCCTATTGTTTAGCTTTCAAAAGAAGTTTAAATCATGCAATTTAGAGTTTTAGTTGATTTTTTATAATTTTTCTAAGTTGGGTTTATGTCCAGAATTTTGATGCAGTGGCTGGGTAAATACTCAAAATGTATGTCCTGAAATGAGGCCTATAACGTGATTATTTGCAAATGTGGTCTTCAGTAAAGTTGTACAAATTTGAGTTAGCTATCACATGGTTTTTGAATCTCATTAAAAACGTGTCTGTAGCTCCGGTTAGCTAGTAAATACTGAAGTCTGGTCGGTTACAATTTCTCGACTTTTGACTGCTACTCAGTTTTGAATGTTTGATAATTTATTTCCTAGTAAACGACCTTATTTACTTTTAATGTCTTCATACGAATTTTATATGCATACCTTAAGATTACAGTGCCACTTGAATCACATTCATCCGAGTTATGTACTGAAAGTTATGTTGATTTTAAAAACGCTGCCCGGGTTAAATTTTCAAAAACGTATGTGGTACTTTCGAAAATGATATTTCCTTGATTAAATGCTTATGTGAGCATAATTGGACTAAGTGATTATTATGATTAGTTAGTCATGGGTTGAATAGTCATTTATAGGACTATTTTAATAAATGTAGGTGCTTGACGAGCCGAGCTCACCGCTTACCCATTATTGTTGTGCTTTGGCTTGTTATCATCCAGATGGGTTTTACTTATAAAATTGTCTATGCCATACGTGTTGTTTAATGTTTAGTTGGTATGACCAATGTATGAAGGTGAACCATGTAGCCTATCGATGTGAGCTGTTACGGCCGTCGGTACGGTTGTCCCCGTCGAGTTACGGTACGGTTGCCCTTGCGAGGCAAGTCTCCTTAAGACCTAATGAAAGGCCGTGTCCGTTACAGTGGCACGCACTCCCGTCGTTAGGGTTTATGCATCCCCTTTCCGCGGCTAATGATAGATGTGCACATGAGTGAGTTATTGTTGAGATTAGGAGATGAGACATGATGATGATTGATTTATATTCATACTGCGACCATACCATCTAAACATGTATTATTTATGTGCATAGTGGTGAGCACGCTTTTCATCTAGTGCTCATCCCCACCTGCTCTTTACCGATGCAGGTTAAGCAGGAGCTGGGTGACGAGAAGAGGCGAGTGGGTCGGTCAAATTTTATTTATTGCTTCCGTATGAATAAGGCTTTATGAACCCGGATTGTTGGGTATTATGGATTGATTATATATTCATGTTGAGAATTATGTCTCGTGATATGTTTCGGTTAATGAAAACCGTTTGTGAAAACCGAGTAATGAATCCCCGTGAGCTCAGATAAGACTTGGGTTATGAAAAATGTTGTTTAACATCCATTGAATTTTTGAAAATGATTTTGAAAATTTTACACTGATTTTTTTTAAAGTCCGGAATTTCTTTAAAATCAAAGTGGGGTGTTATAGTTTGGTATCAGAGCCAGTCTGTGTTTCTGTAGACTGGCACATATGTAATTATGTGTTTAGAGCTTGTGTTATGACCACTCGTCTCCGTCACTCCGCGCTGCATAAGGTAATGTAAATGTTACACATGTAGCAATGAAATTACTTGTGCGGTACTTGTTATTATTGGGACTTAGGATCTATCCACCTTGATTTTTAACGAACTCTAGTGTTTGTCGGCGAAATCTAGACTTTTATGAGTATTGATTATTTTGTTTGTTTTTGTACTTAACCTTGATCGGCTTATTCAATGTAGAAGTATGAATACTCGCAACAATCGTAACCGTCAGCCATCCCTATCTCCTTCTCCTCCTCGTCATCATCATCAGGCTCCTCCGGCCATGAATATCTCTCAACTTATCATCCAATTCCAGAGGATGAATGCACCAACTTTTTCGGGGACCGAGAACCCCACAGCGGTGATTGAGTGGATCAAAGAACTGGACAAGATCTTTGATGTGCTTCCCCTTCCAGACTGTCAGCGAGTGTCCCTTGCAGCCTATCGGATGAAGGAGGACGCCTCCGACTGGTGGATTGAACACTGGGCCCGGAAGCCAGAGGCGGAGCTCCATGCTCTCACTTAGGAGCAGATGAAGATGATGGTTCGCAGCAAGTTCCTTCCCCAGAGCTTTTGGGATAGGATGGAGCATGATTTCTATCACTTACAGCAGGGCAGTTCTACAGTGGATGAGTATATCCACACTTTCACTCGCATGTGCCTTTTTGCGGGGGATGCATTGAACACCGATGCCAAGAAAGCCCGCAAGTTTCTCAAGGGGCTCAACCAGAGGATCCGTGAGCTGGTGGGAAGTCACGGACAGATGTCCTATGCTGATACCGTGAGTCGAGCTCAGGAGGTCGAGAGCTGTCTCATTCCATTGGCTCCAGTCCCCTCTTACTACCATGCCGCCCAGCCATCTCAGGCCATTGTCCAGCATGCTCAGCCCATCTCAGCTGTGCCGACCGGCTCTAGTTCGGGCAAGAGGAAATCCAATTATCAGAACAAGAAAAAGGGCAAGAAGGGAAATTTTGGCAGACGCGACGACCGACCCACTCAGGGTCAGCAGCCGAGGTGCCCTAAGTGCGGCAGGTTCCACACCGGGGAGTGCTTAGCAGACCAGCGAGCTTGTTACAACTGCAACCGTCCGGGCCATTATGCTAGTATGTGCCCTGAGCCCAAGAGACAACAGCATCAGCAGGCTCTTCCCCAGCAGCGACAGCAGCAGCTTCCCCCACCGCCACCTCATCAGCAGCCTCCACCGTCCCAGCAGAGGGCTGGGGGTCAGGCCCGAGTCTACACCATCACCCATGACGAGGCTGCTCGCAACGCAGGTACTATGTCAGGAATGCTTTTGATATCCCATGTGCTTGTTTTTGCTTTATGTGATACCGGTGCTACCCACTCCTTTATATCTTCTTGTTGCTTGGAGGCCTTGTCTCTTAGCACTGTGCATGCTTGTGACCCTCTCGAGGTTAGTTTAGCCTCGGGAAAAATTATTATCTCTGATTCATTGGTTCGCAATCTTCCTATCTGTATCGGTGGTCGAATTCTGGAAGCCAGCGTTTATGTAATTGATATGCGAGACTTCGACGTGATCTTGGGCATGGACTGGCTCACCCGTTACCGAGCCGATATTCGGTGCCAGGAGCGCGAAGTCACCCTTTATCCCGTTTTCAATCAGCCTGTTGTGTTCTTTGGGGTAAGTTCGAGGACTGTGCCTCGGGTCATCTCTTCCATGCAAGCTAGGAAGAGCCTTTCCAAAGGTAGCTGTCAAGGTTACCTTGTCTCCATGGTATCCAACGATGTTGATGAGCGCGTGCCCGAGAGAGTATCTATTGTTTGTGAGTTCTTTGATGTTTTTCCTAATGACTTACCTGGGGGACCGCCAGACCGTCAGGTGGAGTTCACTATTGACCGAATTCCAGGAGCTGGTCCCGTTTCTAAGGCCCCTTATCGTATGGCGCCGAAGGAGCTTCAAGAGCTCAAGGCCCCGATCCAGGAGTTGCTCAAGCTCGGTTTCATCCGTCCGAGTGTTTCGCCTTGGGGTGCGCCTGTCCTATTCGTTAAGAAGAAAGACGGATCTATGCGCATGTGTATTGACTATCGGGAGTTGAATGCCCTTACAGTCAAGAACAAGTATCCCCTTCCCCGTATCGAGGACCTTTTCGACCAGCTGAGAGGAGCCAGCATCTTCTCAAAGATTGATTTGCGTTCTGGCTATCATCAGCTGAAGATCCGGGAGTCAGATATTTCCAAGACTGCTTTCCGTACCCGTTACGGCCACTATGAGTTTGTAGTCATGCCGTTCGGACTTAGCAATGCCCCAGCCGTTTTCATGGACCTTATGAATAGGGTCTTTCATCCTTTCCTAGACCAGTTCGTCATTGTGTTCATCGATGACATTCTGGTCTATTCCCGTGATATCGATCAGCACAAGGAGCATCTGAGGATTGTGCTGGAGACTCTTCGTCGCGAGAAGTTGTATGCTAAGTTCTCGATGTGCGAGTTCTGGCTGAACCGTGTGGCATTCCTTGGCCACATTGTGACAGCTCGAGGCATTGAGGTGGATCCCAGCAAGATTGAGGCTGTGAGTAAGTGGGATACGCCAAGAAGTGCTGCAGATGTTCGTAGTTTCCTGGGGTTAGCAGGATACTACAGGAGGTTTATCGAGGGCTTTTCGAAGATAGCCCAACCACTGACCAACCTTACGAAGAAGGCCGTGAGGTTTGATTGGAGTCCTCAGTGCGAGGAGAGTTTCCAGGAGTTGAAGAGGAGACTCACTACCGCACCAGTTCTATCCATTCCCGACCCTACTTTGGAGTTTACCATCTATAGTGATGCTTCGAAGATGGGCTTGGGTTGTGTTCTCATGCAGCAAGGGAAGGTGGTGGCCTATGCTTCGAGGCAGCTGAAGCCTCACGATCAGAACTATCCCACTCATGATCTTGAGTTAGCTGCAGTTGTCCACGCTTTGAAGATTTGGCGGCACTACCTCTATGGAGGCAAGTGTGAGATCTTTACCGACCACAAGAGCCTGAAGTACATTTTCACTCAGAAGGAGCTGAACATGAGGCAGCGTAGGTGGTTGGAGCTGGTCAAGGACTACGACTGCACCATTAGCTATCACCCTGGGAAAGCTAACGTGGTTGCCGATGCTCTTAGTCGGAGGAGTCATGGTCAGCTGTCTTGCTTGTTTACCAGGCAGGATGTTCTTCTTCGGGAGTTCGAGTGATTACAGATAGAGACAGTGGAGTCGACTTCGACAGCCGGGGGCATTTTGACCTCTTTGGTTGTGGGATCGACTCTTCGAGAGAGGATAGTCGCCGAGCAACCGAATGATCGTTTCTTATGCCGGATGAGAGAGTTGTCAGAAGCCGGTAGAGTTGGAGGATTCGCAGTCGCATCTGATGGGGCCTTGGTCTTTGAGGGTAGACTTTGTGTCCCGAAGGTGTGGGAACTGCGAAGGGATATTCTGAGAGAGGCCCATAGTGCCCTGTATACCATCCATCCTGGTAGCACGAAGATGTATCAGGACCTGAGGAAGTCCTTCTGGTGGCGAGGTATGAAGAGGCAAGTAGCGAAGTTCGTGGATGGGTGCCTGGTGTGTCAGCAAGTGAAGGCTGAGCGCCAGAAACCGAGAGGGTTGTTGCAGCCCCTCGAGGTTCCCCAGTGGAAGTGGGAGTGCATCACCATGGATTTCCTGGTGGGATTGCCGAAGTCAAAGAGCGGGTATGATTCGATTTGGGTGATAGTGGATCGCCTTACGAAGTCTGCCCATTTTCTGCCAGTCCGGACGACCATGAAGGAAAGTGATTACGCCGAATTGTTCATCAAGGACATTGTCAAGCTTCATGGAGTGCCCGTGGAGATTGTTTCTGATCGAGACCCCAAGTTCACATCTCAGTTCTGGAGGACACTGCACCGAGCCATGGGGACGAGGTTGGAGTTCAGTACAGCCTTTCACCCCGAGACAGATGGTCAGTCGGAGCGTACGATCCAGTATTTGGAGGATATCTTGAGGGCTGTGGTCTTGGACCGAAGCCTAACTTGGGAGTATGCCCTTCCGTTAGTCGAGCTGACCTACAACAACAGCTACCACTCTTCGATCAAGATGGTCCCGTATGAGGCTTTGTACGGACGTAAGGTCCGGACTCCCTTGTATTGGGATGAGGTTGGAGAGAGGAGGATCACGGGCCCGGACTTTGTTCAGAGTACTGCGGCGACAGTCGAAGAGATCCGGAAGACCATCAGATCTGCCCAGGAGAGGCAGAAGGTCTATGCCGACCGGAAGAGGCAAGAGCATGTTTATGCAGTGGGAGATCATGTCTTCTTGAAGGTTTCACCCATGAGAGGTGTGATTCGCTTCGGGAAGAAGGGAAAGCTTAGACCTCGCTATATCGGGTCTTTTGAGATCCTCGACCGAGTTGGGAACTTAGCGTATCGGCTGGCTTTACCACCAGATTTGTCGGGTGTGCACGATGTGTTCCATGTTTCGATGCTTCGGAGGTACGTGCATGATCCTGATCACGTGGTGGACTTCGGCGAGCTGCAGGTCGAGCGAGACCTCACCTATGAGGAGGTGCCGGTAGCCATCTTGGACCGAAAGGTCCATCAGTTGAGGAACCGGGCAGTGAGCTTGGTGAAGGTACTGTGGAGCCGACACGATGAGACCGAGGCAACTTGGGAGAGGGAGGATGGTATTAGGAGGCCTTATCCGAACTTTGAGTTCTGAGTTCTCCTTTGTATTTTACCGCTTTCTAGTTTTATTTTCGAATTCCGAGGACGGAATTCTTTGTAAGGTGGGTAGATTGTAGCGTCCCGTTTGAATATTAGATTTTTAATTAATGGCTTTATTTTATTATTTATATGCTTTAATTAAATGATTATATATGCTATCATTATGTGGATAACATAATTATATAACTTGTTCGATTTCATTTTATGGATCGCCGTTTGAATTTCGGTTTACTCGCGTAAGTCGAATTGTTGTTCGTTTTAATTCGTTTTTAGCCTCGTTTCATGCATGTTAATAAGGGATTATTAAGTATTTTCTAAGCTTAAGTAAGTAAGTCTTGGAAGCATTATCAATAGTCAAAGCTCTTGTAGGTTCACTTTGCGTAACTTATTGCCGGGGCTGATAAGAACCGAGCCATTCACCTTTCTCTAACCAATGGTTCAAACCATGGTTCCTTTATCTCAAATCTAAGACCATGAGAATGAAATCAGGTGGATTAAAAGTCATATGAGCTATTTTAGTCCATGTGAAGGTGAAAGGGAGTCAACCATCTTGGCATTTAGTAATAATGTGCTAGGTTGTTGTTATATTGCATGTGCTAGTCTTGTTTTTGCATGAGAGGTGTAAGATTCTTGTCCCCATGTTCCTTGATGATAAAAATCAGAGTATCTTAAGCCTTACCAACCCAATAACTCGTCCATGTGCTCAAGATTCACACACCTAAGAGTTGAAGAAATTTCCTTGCAAATACACCTAAGATTTCTTCATTATTTGTCCCTTTTATAGCCAAAGAGTCAACACCCATGTGAAGCCTTTACATAAGGCCACAACTCAGCTGATAAAGTCACATTAATCCTTATAATTTTCGTTCATAATCACCCCAAAGTCCTCTCCAAACTATTAGAAGTTATATCAAGTTCAAGAGCAACTTAGAGCCTTTGCCGAGAAGAACTTCAACCTAGTTTCATCTTGTTTTTCTTGAAGGCTTGAAGAGGTTAGTATGCTAAATCCTTTTTAGTATTATGTAGGGGAGTTAATTTGTTATTATGTGTGTTAAATTATGACTAAGTTTCATTTTATATGAGGATATATCGATATTGAAAGGAGACCATGTAGTAGAAGACTTATATTTCGATTTTTACAACCTCTGTTGTGTTGCTGATAAGAGCATGAATTACTCGTTTTATGAAGTTTTGATCTGCATATGAGATGTAGATCTTTCGGTTATGGTTATGTGAGTTTTAAAATTTTGAAAATCCGATTTGAAATTAGAGAGATATGATTTTTATAAAAATATAGCGCCAGCAATTTAACAAAACCCGGCAGCAAGTTTATGTTGAATGTTTTACCTATTTGTGGCATCTTAATGTACTCAAATTAATTTTTGATCTTCATAAAACTTATAGGTCTATTGTTTAGCTTTCAAAAGAAGTTTAAATCATGCAATTTAGAGTTTTAGTTGATTTTATATAATTTTTCTAAGTTGGGTTTATGTCCAGAATTTTGATGCAGTGGCTGGGTAAATACTCAAAATATATGTCCTGAAATGATGCCTATAACGTGATTATTTGCAAATGTGGTCTTCAGTAAAGTTGTACAAATTTGAGTTAGCTATCACATGGTTTTTGAATCTCATTAAAAACGTGTCTGTAGCTCCGGTTAGCTAGTAAATACTGAAGTCTGGTCGGTTACAATTTCTCGACTTTTGACTGCTACTCAGTTTTGAATGTTTGATAATTTATTTCTTAGTAAACGACCTTATTTACTTTTAATGTCTTCATACGAATTTTATATGAATACCTTAGGATTACAGTGCCACTTGAATCACATTCATCCGAGTTATGTACTGAAAGTTATGTTGATTTTAAAAACGCTGCCCGGGTTAAATTTTCAAAAACGTATGTGGTACTTTCGAAAATGATATTTCCTTGATTAAATGCTTATGTGAGCATAATTGTACTAAGTGATTATTATGATTAGTTAGTCATGGGTTGAATAGTCATTTATAGGAATATTTTAATAAATGTAGGTGCTTGACGAGCCGAGCTCACCGCTTACCCATTATTGTTGTGCTTTGGCTTGTTATCATCCAGGTGGGTTTTACTTATAAAATTGTCTATGCCATACGTTTTGTTTAATGTTTAGTTGGTATGACCAATGTATGAAGGTGAACCATGTAGCCTATCGATGTGAGCTGTTACGGTCGTCGGTACGGTTGTCCCCGTCGAGTTACGGTACGGTTTCCCTTGCGAGGCAAGTCTCCTTAAGACCTAATGAAAGGCCGTGTCTGTTACAGTGGCACGCACTCCCGTCGTTAGGGTTTATGCATCCCCTTTCCGCGGCTAATGATAGATGTGCACATGAGTGAGTTATTGTTGAGATTAGGAGATGAGACATGATGATGATTGATTTATATTCATACTTCGACCATACCATCTAAACATGTATTATTTATGTGCATAGTGGTGAGCACGCTTTTCATCTAGTGCTCATCCCCACCTGCTCTTTACCGATGCAGGTTAAGCAGGAGCTGGGTGACGAGAAGAGGCGAGTGGGTCGGTCAAATTTTATTTATTGCTTCCGTATGAATAAGGCTTTATGAACCCGGATTGTTGGGTATTATGGATTGATTATATATTCATGTTGAGAATTATGTCTCGTGATATAGTTCGGTTAATGAAAACCGTTTGTGAAAACCGAGTAATGAATCCCCGTGAGCTCAGATAAGACTTGGGTTATGAAAAATGTTGTTTAACACCCATTGAATTTTTGAAAATGATTTTGAAAATTTTACACTGATTTTTTTTAAAGTCCGGAATTTCTTTAAAATCAAAGTGGGGTGTTACAGAGAGCATGCTCCCTTACGGGTGTGCCCTCTGCCATGCGCTAGTCATCAGAGCACTCATAGCCTCTTGCCTAGCAGCCCTAGACTAGTGTCTGAACAGATTCCTGAGGTTGAAAAGTATGTCTGCTGCAGTGTTCATAGACTGATGCTGATGTTGAAGAACATTTGACATAGATGCCAGAATGTAACACTTCGCCATCTCATCATCCTTTTTCTATTTGGCATACTCCTCTTTCTCGTGCTCAAGAGCATCAGCCGCGGGTTTTGTCGGGCAAGCCTCAGTAATCGCAAACTTATAACCCCTAACAGTCAACACAATGTCTAAGTTCTTCTTCCAATCAATGTAATTAGGACCAGTAAGTTGATTTTGTTTTAGAATGACATATAACGGATTGAACAACATGATGAATATCTGAAAAACACGAAAATAATTTTACAGATTAAACATATTTGAATTTAACTGCTAATATTGATATCCTCAAAACAAATATTAACTTAAATTCACCGACATCTCAAAACACAGAGTGTTAATGCATGATGCGAGGGAAACCCTACACAACTCAACATTTGCAAGATGTGGGCTTTCAAAGGCCCGT